TGAACATTGGGGTGCATATGGCCCTTCTTTTCACTACATCTGTGTCTTTGGGGTAAATACCCAGGAGTGCAATTGCTGAGTCATAGGGTAGCTCTGTTTTTAATTTTTTGAGGCACTTCCACACTGTTTTCCAAAGTGGCTGTACCAACTTGCATTCCCACCAACAGTAACACCACATTTTAAATGCCTTTTGTGGCAGACTGTTTGGATTGAATTTTGAGTAGTAATCTGGGTAAATCACTTCCTACACTACAAAAGACTCAGAAATGGGAGAGGGAATAGGAAAATAAGAAAAATGTTCTTCACAGAAAAAAATAAAACCTGTATGTAGGTTATTATAGGCCTCTGATCTTAGCTTTTTTTTTTTTTTTTTTAAGATTTTATGTATTTATTTGAGAGAGAGAGCATGAAGCAGGGAGAGGGAGAAGCAGACTCCCCGCCAAGCAGGAAGCCCGATGCACAGGGCTTGATCCCAGAACCCTGGAGATCATGACCTGAGCCGAAGGCAGAGGCTTAACTGAGCCACCCAGGCGCCGCTTAGCTCCTTTTTTTAAGGAGAAAGTGGAATGCAGCCCTGTGTCTCATCACCGACCTTGTGCCAACATTGCTGGTTGCAAGGCAGAAACGGGTGTGCAGCACGTGTGTTTTGCTCAATAAGGAATTACTGAACAGGTGAATGTGACACAGATTCTGATCCCAGGGAAGTTTAGTTGACTAGGGGAGATCAGACAAGGTAACTAGGGTAAATGTGGGATGAGCCCCATTAGGCGAGGGGAGGTGAGTTCTGGTTGGGAGCAGAAGACAGGGTGGTGAACCCTAACGAGAGAGGAGCTTATGAAGTGGGAGGGTAGGAAGGCCCTGAGGGGTACATTTCCTGGAGCCCAAGTGAAGATGGAGAAGGATCGAGTGTTCCTGAGGAACAGTGAAGGTGTACTATTGTGACTGGATTCTGTGAGGTGGAGTGGTATCATGGGAAGAGCACATTGGGGCCTGGAATGTTAGGGTGAAGATTGTGGTAGCCATTCAGATGCTTTGTGGAGGGCAGTGACTGGACCTGTTTCTAAGGAGACAGGATGTTGATGCTGTGGAGGGTGGGTTGGAGAGGGGAGAAGTGGCCTGGGTTCAGTCAGAGTCTTTCATAGTGATGCTTATCATCAGGTAGACAAAATTCTGAGATGCCGCAGAAGTCGGTGTGGTAAGTCTGGTAGGCGGTTGGAGATTGGAGGTGCAGGAGTAATTGACAGTTTGGAGCCTAGAAGTGCCAAGGAAAGGAAACAATGCCAGCCCAATGTCATGAGTTTGAGGGACCATCACTCCATTTCTGAGTGCCTGAAAACACTGGCATGGGATAAAAAGGGTTGGTTTTTTCTTGAAGGTTACTGTTTTGTTTTCGAGGAGAAAGCAGTTGTATTTGAATTTCTCACAGGTTGCTCGAGCGCATCACGTCCAGGCAGAGAGCTACCTGGTGTACAACATTATGAGCAGCGGGGAGATCGAATGCAGTAACACGCTGGAGGACGCCCTCGACCAAGCTCTGCCCAGCCAGGCTTTCGTTTACCGCCCGGTGCGGCAGCGTGTTTACTCCCTCTTACTGGGGGACGGCAGAGGTGAGCTTGTTGGTCTCTCTTAGCAGCAGTGCTATTTGGAGTTGGATTCTGAGAAACAGACCAAATGAAGTAGAATGCATTCTTTCAGGACACGGATACAATTAAAAAGGGTTTTGTTTCTCTGTAAAATCTGTAATTGAGAATACCACTCACATCTGTACAACATTAAGGGTAAACGCCATGGGACATCTCTATCTAATTAGCAAACAGTTGATCAGTATTCATTAAAAGAAGAGTGCATTGTTTTTATAAAATGTTATACTTTTATTCCTTAAAAGGATTTGTGTTTTCTGAAAAATGAAAACCCTTTCCTCCTGCAGGAGTGTAGGGTATGTTTATTATTAGAAGACAATGTCTACTTATTCTTCTTCCAAATGTGATTTTCATAAAATAATTCCATAAAATCTAGTACATCATATTTTGAAGTATAAACAAAATTTTCCTTTAGAGCATTTGTATTTAGGTTTTTCCCATCTATATTTTCCTTGTGCAATAACAGCAAGCATGTAGGGAGAGGACTGTCAGTGGCCAGAGCAGGAAAGTTGGGGGGCCTTCATCACCCATTGGAAAATTAATTAGGCCCTGCTGCTCTCTTTTCGGGGGCGTTGGGGGGCATTGGGAGTGGAGAAGAGCACTTCATAGTAGAGACTAGTGACGCTTCACACATGTAGTTACCTCTTAGGTGAGGTCCTGCTCACCTGCGACTGGCGTCCTGGGACACTGGTCTGACTTGAGAGTGCTTTAATAAGAAACAGGCCTGCACACACTGTGATTGGGACCGGAGACAGAAGCAGTAAGATCCCGATGAAAGGGTGTCTGTGGTCCTTTTGCCTAAAGTCCATTATTTCTGGACGTACCAATATTGGTATTAAGATCACTCTGTTATTCCAGAAAGTAAGCATTACATAACCTACAGGTGGTGATAGAATCCTCCGATTAAAATGCTGTCATGATTCTTTGCTTTGGCAGGGTGTGGAGTGGCAAGGTTCTTTGAATCCAATTTTTATTAGATTCTCGGCATATACTGCCTTTTCCCACATGTGCTGTCAGAATCCAGAGGCTTATGTGCCCTAAGGAAGACATGAGAAAGATGTTTACACTAATTGGAAAACAGAATTATTTAAATAATTTTTTTCTATTTCTTTTTCTTATGTGGTTCTCTCTCCATATTCTTTTTTTTTTTTTTTTAAAGATTTTATTTATTTATTCATGACAGAGAGAGAGAGAGAGAGGCAGAGGGAGAAGCAGGCTCCCAAGGAGCAGGGGCCCGATGCGGGACTCGATCCCGGGACCCTGGGATCATGACCTGAGCCGAAGGCAGACACTTAACCATCTGAGCCACGCAGGCGCCCTCCATATTCTTTCTTAACACAAGTGATTTCACGTTGATTCTAATGATTAAAAAAAAGACATCTTAATCATGAAAAAAATTTCACATTGTATAGTATTTGCCTGGAATTGTTTTTATTTTTTTTAAAGATTTTATTTATTTGAGAGCGAGAGAGAGCATGAGTGGGGGCGGGGGAGAGGGAGAAGCAGGCTCCCCACTGAGCAAGGAGCCCCATGTGGGATTCGATCCCAGGACCCCGGGATCATGAACTGAGCTAAAGGCAGACGCTTCACCAACTGAGCCACCCAGGCGCCCCTGCCTGGAATTGTTTTTAGAGTAGCTTATTGAATAAAGTCCAAATATATGAATTTTACTAACTTAAATTTTATACTTTGTTAATGCAAATTATTTACAGCCATATTGGTAACTTGATTACTTAACCACAATAACAGGAATAATTACTCAAATTGAACTTGTCTTCACAATTGATCTTTACTCTCTTCTTTTTCCGTTTTTTGGCTTTCTCCATGAAGTTTACATTTTTAGGATGTGAACGTAAAATGCTGCTGTTGCTGGTTTACTTGTGGTGGTGGTAATGAGGCATATTTGCGTTGCTTGCTTGGCTTAGCTTATGATCCGTGTGTCCTTGAAAATGATGTTCTAACGTGGCAGTGGGGTTGACAGGGCTGTTCAAGTCTTCTCCCCATTTCCTTTTGACTTGTAATTAGTTCTTGAGAGAAGTGTGTTAAGTCTGCAGGTGCTCTTGTGGATGTTTTTATTTATTCCCTCAGTTCTGTTAGTTTTTGCTTCAGATATTTTTGAAGTTCCACTGTTAGGTGCATATACACTGAGAATTGTTCTGTTTCTTAATGAATTGACCCTTTTAATATTATGAAATTTCCCTTTAAAAAAAAAATCTGGTGATAGTCCTCGTCTTGAAGTGGGCTTTGTCTGACACTAACGTATGCACTCCAGTTTTCTTAAGATTAGTGTTTGCATTGTGTATCTTTTTTCTGTCCTTTTACTTTTAACTATTTCTTTATACTTAATGTACATCTCTTTTAAGCAGCGTATCCAGTTTGACCATCTTTCTTTTATTTTTTTCTTTTATTTAATTATTTAATTATTTTTCCCAAGCCCCCAGTGTGGGGCTTGAACTCACTACCCTGAGATCAAGACCTGAGCTGAGATCAAGAGTCGTAGACTCTTAACCAGCTGAGCCACCAAGGCGCCCCTGATAATCTTTCTTTTAATTAGTCTTTAGATCCCTTACATTCAATGTAATTATTGACATGATTGGGTTTAAGTCTTTCATTTTGCCCTTTGCTCTGTTTTTTTCCCTTATTTTCTCCTTTTCTGATTTCTTTTGGACTAACTGAATAATTCTTAGTATTTTGTTTTATGTCCTCTTTTGGATTATTAGATTAACCTGTGTTGTTTTTTTTTTAGTGGTTCCTTGAGGGTTAATAATGTAATCTTTTTTTTTTTTAAAGCCAGATCATAGAGTATTTTTTTTTTTAATTTTTTATTTATTTGACAGAGAGAGAGAGAGCGAGAGCAGGAACACAAGCAGGGGGAGTGGGAGAGGGAGAAGCAGGCTTCCCGCCAAGCAGGGAGCCCGATGTGGGACTCAATGCCGGGACTCCGGGATCATGACCTGAGCCGAAGGCAGACGCTTAACGACTGAGCCACCCAGGTGCCCAGTAATGTACATCTTTAAGTTACCACAATTTGCCTTCAAATAGTATTATAACCGCATTGTGTGTGATGCATTGTAGCTGCGAACTTTCATTTTCCCATCATTTTTGCTATTGTTGTGTATTTTTTAAATTTTTAATTTTGAAGGAATTACACAGTCATGGGAGTTGCAAAAACAGTCCATAGGCTTTCCTGTACCCTTGCCCCAGGCCCCCGCACAAACGACGTTTTGGGTAATAAAGTACAGTGTCAGAGCCATAAATTCACATTAGTGCAGTTTTATTAACTAGATTACGGCTCTTAATCAGCTTCATCATTTTCTACATTCACTCATTTATTTATGTGTCTGTGTATAGTTTTATGTATTCTATTCGATGTTAAGATACAGAATTGGTCCATCCCTACGAAGGAGCTCTCTCATGCTGCCCCTTTGTGTCCTGCCCTCCGGCCCTGTCCCCTGTTCCCTACTAGTTTGTCCTCGATCTCTGTACCTTGGTTTTTGCAAAAATGTTACATACATGTTTGGTCATGTCAAGAATGTTACATATGTGTAATCTTTTGATATTATGCATATGTTTTAAATCCCATAATAGGATTCTTATTTTTACTTTAAACCTGGGGCTGGCAAACTTTTTCTGTGAAGGGCCAGATGATAACAAATATTTTAGGCTTTGAGGGCCCCTGTAGTCTGTATAACAAGCACACTCTCCTGCTGCAGTGTGGACATGTCTGTGTCTATCACAGGAGCGAGGCTGTGTCTCAGTAAAGCCTGATTTCCTTTTCCCATGTCACAATTCCCATGAATTTTATATAATCTTCCTGTGTCACAGAATATTCTTTTGATAATTTTCTAATCATTTAAAATAATGTGAAAAGCATTATAGCTTTCAGACTGTATATCACAAGCAAGTCAGACATGGCCCATTGGCTGTCATTTTCCAACCATTAATTTAACCAGTCAGCTGCCTTTTAGAGGAGTTTACAAAAGAGAAGTCTTTGAAGTGCACCATTGCTGGTGCTCTCCATTTCTTTGTGTAGATCCAATTGTCCTTTGGTATCACCTTTCTTCATTTAGAGAACTTGCTTTTACATTTTTTATGGTGCTCATTTTATTTCCTGATTTTTTTTCCCTGAAAATATCTTTATTTCAGAAGTGTAATTTTGCTGTATATAGAATTTTAGGTATTTTTATTTTTTGTTCAGCACTGTCAAGATGTTGTTATGTTGTCTCTAGCTTGTATTGGCTGTCACGTGGTGACCGTGGTCCTTCTTACTGTTGTTCCCCATCCGTAACAAGTGTTTTTTCCCTCCGGCTGTCCATAAGGTTTTTCTCTTGCGCACTGGTTTTTAGTAATTTGTCTAAGCTGAGCTTTGGAGTGATATACTCAGTGTTTATTCTGCTTGGGATTCCTGAGCTTCTTGGACCAATGAATATATACTTCCTATCAAATTTGGGGAAAAAGTGAATTTTATTTCATCAAACATTGTCTCCTCTCTCTATTGCTTTCCCCTCTCACTCTGGGCCTCCCAGTTCCATGCTTGATTTATTGCTCATGGTGCCCATTATGCTCCCCGGCTTGCTTTTAAAAAAGCCTCTTTTCTCTGTGCTTCAGTTTGGATAGTTCCTGTTGCTCTTATTTCAACATCTAATCTGCTATTAACCCATCCAGTGAAATGTTCATTTCAGATATTGCATTTTTCAGCTGTTAGTTTTTTAATCTTCCATCCCCCGCCCCCATCTTCATGTTTGCCTTTAAATCCTTAAATTTATGCACAGTACCTGTTTTCAAGTCCTTGTCCACTAATTCCATCAGCTCCATCATTTCTGGGCCTGTGTCTGTTGATTGACTTTTTCTCCTTGTAAGGGGGCCATGTGTTTCTGCTTATGATCCTTAAGTATTTCTGCTTATTTTCATGTCCACTGTGTTTTGATTGTAGCCTAGAAGATTTTGGATCTGTGAAGGGTATTGAC